AAGGGCCAAGTGATCCAGTTTTAAACTTTTTGATTTTTTTTTCCCCATTTAATTTTGATGCGAAAATACTGAAACTAGAAAAATTACCTGTAGGGAAATAAATGACAATTATATAATCATACCTAAAAAAAAAAGACCTTATTCATACATCTGATAACCAGTTGATTATGGCCAATGGCTGGACCTCAGCTGGGCCTGTTGGTCAGAATACTTCCATATCTCTGGTCTTCCTCACAACATGGTGGCTGAGTTCTGAGAGTGAAGCCTGCACCTTCCATGACCTAACTCAGAAGTTATTCAGAGACACTTCTGATTAAATTCATTCATTAGAAATTAGAAGTAAGTCAAAGAGGAGGAGGATTATATCCAATAGGAGGAGAAATAGAATCCCTATCTTTTGATGGAATGATAATAAAAAAATTGCAAATATGATTTAAAATCACATTTAAAAAAGTGCCATCCTTTCTTAAATGAAAGCCCTAATAGACCATGATTCACACCATCTTATGCTCTTACCATTTTTCTTCCTACTTTGTTTACCTAAGTACAGTTTGAAGAAATGATACCTTAAATGTATATATATATGGGAGGTCATTTCTCTTCTCCTGTGAAAGGAAGACTGATGGCTGCTATTCCTTGAGAAATTAATCCTATTTATTCTTCCATTAGGGACACTATTAAATGTAGGAACCATTGAACTGGACATTTCTTCATGCAAACCATACAATGTATAGAAACTTCAGCATCATTAATTCATTGAATAGTGATTACAATCTACCCTGTTGTAAAAGTTCAGCCCCAGGTGATGTTTTAACTGATGGGTCACAGGAAATTCATTCAGTCAGAAATTGTTAGTGCCCATATCCTACCTGCTGTGGTTTTGATCTAAACATTGCTTTCTTTTTTTGCCATGGGAGATGCCATGTGAATAAACTATTGGATTTGTTGTTTATTTCTATTGTCCGAACTTGATGACTAAATCAAAGATCAATGTAGATGTGGAGTTTTATAGGCAATATGTACAAGTGAATTGCACATGGATAATGGCTAGTAATACTTTACTAAAGTTTTATACAATGAAGAAAAGTTGCTGAGAGGGAGGCAACCTGCCAGGGGCAGGAACTAGAATCAGGGGCAGCAACTTGCTCCTGGAATAACTTCTGTCTCTGACTTTATACCAAGAGGGAAACTTCTAGTTAGGGAAAGGAAAAGCAGCGCTATGCACTTGTGAGTATTAGCTAACTCTCTACCTTTTCTCCAATCTTTCCAATAACAGTATTCCAAGTTGGCCAGTTGGAGACTTCACAGAGCCTACACTGTGCAGACTGTGCCTGTTCCCTTTACCAACCCAATTTCTCTTCTCCTATGATAGAGAGACTGATGGCTGCTGTTCCTTGATAAATGAATCCTATTTACTCTCCCATTAGGGGAAACTTTGCCTGCAAACCACTAGGTCACCCATCAATCTCAAGAAGCATAAAAATTAATGGGTACTTGGCCTAGGCACTGGAGACCACAGAGTGCTTATTATAACAGAGAGAAGAATGCAGCATGACACTGGAAAGCATCATTAGGGAGGCATGTGGTGTGTGAATTAAGCAGTATCTTCACTATAGAGATGGCTGGGGAGGGTGAACTTGAGATGTGAGAGCATCATAGGCATTTGGTTGGATTCAGATCTGTAATTCCTATTTGCAAAATTCTCTTTCATATAAGACCCAATGTAACCAGATGACTGGGGACTAGAAGTCTGGATTAAGAAGGAAAGAAAATTTACTACCAGGAGTAATAGTTCTGTAAAATAAAAGCATAGTTTGAATCTATAATAGTTCTGTAAAATAAAAGCATAATTTGAATCTATCTACATTTGCAGATTCAACCAACAGAAGATCTCATTGTATTTAATTAGGCCAACGACAGCTGTATTTGTACTGAACATATTTAGCCATTTTTTCTTGACATTATTCCCTATAGAGTACTGTATAACAACAATTTACATATAACTTAGGAATGATTAGCAATCTATAAATGATTTAAATCATGCAGGAGGACATGTATAGGTTATATGCAAATGCTATACCATTTTATTTAAGCAACTTGAAGCAATCCATAGATTTTGGTATCTGAGGGGGTCCCAGAACCAATCCTCTATGGATACTTTGGACTAACTGAAATAAAAAGAAAAAAATAAATGTAGTTGACATCTTTAATCTGAAATTATGGGCTTCCTGACTTTGACAGACTCTTGATTCAAATAATAAAAACTATGAATCAGATGTTTAATTTCCTCAAATTCTGATGTAAGAAACAGAGTACATTTATCACTTTATTTTGTGAATTCTTTAAACAGATCCTATTTAACCAAAATGGATCCCACTTTACTGGTGAGAACATGGCATGGATTGGAGATAGGAACAAACATTTAAAAATGAAAGTAGGAAAACAACTCAGCAGTTTCCTTTGTCCTTTAGTTCTTCCTCTTCTGTCGCACAAATCTCCTCCAATCTCTTGATGTTTTTCAGGAGCAGAAGATATGATGCAAGACAACTTTCAGATGACTACAGTAGATATCATCTGTTTGGGTCAGAGAACAAAAATATGGCTTGGATTCAATGATTTTCTTGGATCATAAAGATGGATGACTGCCGAAGTCAGAGGGCCTATGGCTCAATTGTTTCAGTTACAAAAATTCAACTCTTCAGAATGTTTGGGCAACAGAGAGGAACTGGAATATCAAGACAATCTCAGAATAATAATTATTTTCATGTAGAATTCTAGTCCCAGAACATGAATGGTGGATTAATTACAGAAATGTCCCAATTGGTTCTCATCTTCTCATATACATACTTCTTGATAGTCCCCTTTGTATTAACTCTAGGCTCAGTCACATAACTTTCTCTGGATAGTGGGAAAATAACAAATATAATGAAAGTAGAGACATGAAAAACACTTGAGCATTGGCCTTATTGCTGCCCTTAAGTCTTGCTGAACTTCATGTGAATAAGCTTGCTGGAGGATGAGAGACCACATGGAGCCGAGATGAGCCATTTATAACAGCCAGTGTCCGGCTGACCTAGCAACTCACAAATGTCTTGACATAGCCAAGACCAATTCTATCTGGTCCAGATAGGCAGAACCCCTCAACTGAGTCTAGCCCAAAATGCCATTGCTTGGGACAATGACTAAATAAGTGGTCATTGTTTTAAGCCATTATATTTTGGGATGGTTTATTATATACTATTATATAAATAACATAATATTCTTTTATTATTTGATATTAAGTGGACCACACTTTATTTTTCACTTCCTAGAAGTGACATTTTAACTTAATCTAGCCAATTCTTACATTTCTGAATAAATGAGGAATAGGAACACAATGGAAAAGCAAAATCCACAGTTAATGCAAAATTCTACCATCTATTGAAAAGTTCTGGAGATGAATGGTAGTGATGGGTGCACAACAACGTGAATATACTTAATGTACATTAAAAATGCTAAAAATGAACAAATGATAAAGTATCTGCTATGTGCATTTTATCACAAACAATAAATGAAAATATTATATTATGATATGAGTTTCAATTTCATTGTGGCCTGAATCAAGTTTAAAAAAAAAAAGGACTCCTGTGGTTCTGAGCCCAACATTGCTCCTTTGTTATTGGTGCTAATGAGCAGTGAAAAGGAAAAAGGCGAGCAGCTGGTGGGAGTGGGAAAGAAGCAAGAAATCTGGATCATCAGTTTTAGTTAATGAGTCTACTAGCACCAGGGGTCTACTGGAGGTGAGCACTTTTCTCTCCTGTGGTTTTTGATCAGCTTGAATGATAATGAGTGAAGACACATTGTGGCTCCTCCATTATACAAATCTAAGACTTACTTCTTAAATACACTCCAAAGTAATATGTGGCAAACTCTAATGAATGAATCTTGTTTTTGAAAAATAATTTGCACTCTGTCTACTTCTAAAAAAGAGTTTGAGTCAGTGGAAAGGCTGCTACGATAGAGACGGGAAGCCACCAGTGCCCTGCTATACGGCCTTGGCCTGCCATGGAATCTCCTGTGGACAGCTCCTGTACATGCTAATGGCTTTCTGTATCTCTTCAGTTGTGGCAACCCAGAGACTCTAGGGCACAGTGTTCCCAGGAGGGACCCTCAATCAATATGGGACAAGAGATGTTTGAAAGAGACTCAAGCTCCTTGACCTGAAGTGGGGCAGCTAGATATGGCTCTACACAGTCTCTTGGGAAAATTCCCAGTTGCCCTCAGTGGATAATATTTACATGAACCTGCTTTATGGTAGCTTTTCTCCCTTCTTTAGTCCCTTATAATGCTTCCTGGAATCACTTCACTAATAAGCCACTTATTCCCAATTTGTCACTTCAGAGTTTGCTTTCAGTGGGGTGAGGTGTGTGTCTCAAGTCATAACCAGAGTTACCACACCTAGTATTCAGTATTCTCTTAGCTTCCTAGCAAGTAGGGTTAAGAAAAACACCAACCTCACTTTTCAGTGGAGTTTAGCTAGTATAAACCATTAGTTATTCTTTTATTTTTGCCAGAAAAAAAATTATTTTTATTTTACATGGAAATCTTTCCCTGTCCTCCCCACTCCATCATTCCCCATTCCCTACCCCCCACCATGCTTGGACCAGGCCATGCCCGGATCAGGCCATGCAGTGAGGGAGGCAGGCAGAAACTCAGATTCAGGCTGAGAAAATCTCAAGCACTTTTATGCATACAGTCAACAAGTGATCTTGGTCTCCAAGACCAGAAAGAACCTGGCCACATCAGATTGTGGCCCTAAACAAGAGGCTGCAACCAAGAGCAGGCCCTTGCTGATGGAAACAGTAAGCTGGTAGTGTCAACTCTACGTTGCAGAACAGGGCAAGGTGAACAAAGGAAGTGCACAATCTCTGTCACTCTACTATTCATCTGCTTTTCTGCCCTTGCCCTCAGGGCTCATCCTGGAAGAGGGACCATCCCTCCAAACACTGCTGACCAGTCTTCTAGTTGGAGGCATGTGTCTGGCCACTGCTCAGATTCACTGTTCTCATTGCCACAGGAATGGCAACTTGGCCTGGGAGGAAGGAAGGGTTTATAGTCCTCACCCTCACTCTCTTCTTAGCCTTCGTCTTGGGTTTAACAGGCAGTGGGTGAATCATGGCTGTGTTAGTAGGCTGTATGAATTTTGTCTGGCCTCCAAGGCCATCAAAACCTGTTCTTATCACATCTGTGCTGCGACAGGACTCTGCTTATGGCCCTCTTTGGCTGTTTCTGACCCAGAACAGCATTCCGGATAAAGACAGGGAAGGCACCAGCCAGGTCCTCATCTGGCTCTCTTGCACAGTGCTAGCCACCCAAAGAGAGCTGGGACTTCTGCTTGGGACCTCTGGGCATCTTCTTGAGAATGTCCTGAACAGGAGAGTGTGCCTTCTCAAGGCATAGCCTCTTGGAGTGGCCATGCTGGGAGTTGGAGGGCTGGGCTTGTGGGGTATCCACATTGAAGGAAGCATCGAGGTCAACATCATCACCGAATGATGGCCGGTGGAGCTTCAGGTTCAGCATCTCCACAGGAGCTGGGCTCTCTAAAACCAGGCGGTTGACAGTCTCACTGGCCACTGGTGGAAGGTTCAAGGTTTCCTACAACATCATTAAGCTTCTTTTTCAGGCTCGTGATTTCCTTGTCAGCATTCTGTAAGTCCTTTTGGGCCACTCTCAGCTCCCACTTGGCCTGATCCAATTCAGAGTAGACTGTCTGCAACTTGCTTTTGGAGGAGACCAAGTCCTTTCTCAGTTTGTCAGCCAACTCCCCCGAGGCCGTCCATGTCTTTTTTAGATTCTCATACTCTTTCTTGAGCGACACACAATACACAGCCAGTTGCTCCACCGCTGATTGTCCCATACCCATGTCTCGAATCATCTCCTCCACCTCAGGCCGCTGACTCTGGAGTAGGATCTCAATCTGCTCCATGGTCTTCATCTTGCTCCTAAGTCTGCAGGCTTCCTCCCGTGCTTGTTCTGTCTCATCTTGTTGCTGCTCTAAGAACTTCATCTGCTTTTTGAGTATAGAGCATAGCATCTCAGCCTTGCCTAAGGCCTTTTGCAGAGATTCCACAGTGGTGTTGTGCTCTTCCAGAGTGTCTTGCAGAGTGTCGATAATAAGCTGGCTGTCCTGTTTCTCTCTTTCTTTCTGGGAAAGCCGGGCTCTGATATTGTCCAGTTCATTCTTTAAGAATTCTGCATCCAAGACACTCTCCTCCTCCTGGGCAAAGTCAAAGAAGAGCTTATTGATAATGGTTCTTTTGTCAACCTGGATTCGGCATTGTGGGCAAGTCCGACTTGGTGCTGTCTCAAACCGCTGAATTAGGCCACTTCAGCCCAGGTCTGGAAGCTCCTGAGGAGCTCAGTCTATTGAGGTCCTCACCACCCATCTGGGCTTCAAGTATGGGTTGCCTGAAGGTCCAACACCCTATGGCCCCGAAGCAGTACCAGGCCGAGTGTGGGCCTGTACACCAACGTCACTCACCACTGAAGGTGGAAGATGTGTCCACAGTGGATGGCCGCCACGTCGCGGGAGTGGTCAAAGAAGTCCTCATTAGTTATTCTAATATTCTTCCTTTTCAGTGAATCACCTTGATATTACAGGGACAGCTTTGCTTCCTTTAGGTCACTGTCTGGGAAGCCCTTCTGCTAACTGGAATGAACCATCTTGGACCATCTTGGACCTCAGAGGATTTTCTCAGGGAATGAAAGATTTTATAAAAGTTCTGATGACAAGACTAGATTTCCCAATAAGGATGATGTGAGGCTTCATTATATGGCGGGATAAACAAAAATACTGTATTTACTTGAGTTGTCAGTAGAACCCAAATGTACCAGTTAGGTTGCTTTTGGTGATTTAAAAATGTATCCAAAATTTATTTGAAATTCTTTCCATCAAGAGGAGTTAATCCCCCTTGAGTTAAGGACCCACCTTTGTGACTACATGACAAATACAATGGGATGACAGTGACACTGTGTGACCTGCATGACTGGCTTAGAATAGACCTTATCGTTCTCTTGGAACATTCTATCTGGAAGCCTTTAGCTGCCATGGAAGTCTGACTTGATTTTCCTGAGGCAGATAGATAGGTAGGTAGGTAGGTAGATAGATAGATAGATAGACAGATAGATAGATAGATAGATAGAGTGAATGAATGAATTGAGGAGCCCTGCCCTACGTTCTGCCATCTTTGAGTTTTCTCAGCCCAGGTGCCAGGCATTTGAAAGAAAACACCTTTAGATGACCCAAGCCACAGCTACCATCTGACTGCAACCATATGAGAAACCCAAGCAAGTACCACCCAGCTTATCACCAGATTTATGAGCAAAATAAATGCTTGCCTGCCTGCCTTCTTACTCCTGTCCTTCTTCCATCCTTCCTTTCTTCCTTCTTTCCCTCCTTCTTTCTTTCCTTCCTTTCTTTTCCTCCTTCTCCTTCTTCTTTATATCCCTCTTCCTCTCCCCCTTCTCCCCCTTTTCCTCCTCCTTGTAGTACTGAGGATCAAATCCTGATTTTGCACATCCTAGGCAAGCACTCTACCCCAGAGTTATACTCCAGCCCTAATGCTTGTTTTTCCTTTAAGTTATAATTATGGAATGACTTTTCATATAGCAACCAATTCATTTGATGGCAAGTGACTGAATATACAATTAAAATATATGGAGCTTAGTGTTCTCACAGACATCAAGTCTAGAAGTAGGTTTTTCTCAGGTTCACTAATTCAGCTGCTTAGCAACTTCAGGGTCCCAAGTCAGTTATCTTGTGAACATTTTGGCTTTCTCCTTGTGGGAGCAAGATGGCTGCTGCAATCCAAGCAACACATCATCACATAAGCTCCAACGGTGTCAGGAAGAGGGATTGCATGCTATGTGTCTCTCCTTTTCACGACCTTTCCAAAAATCTCTTTTGCAGCTGCCCCTTAGATCCTGTTGGTCAGGAGGGCTGGGAAAGTAAATATCTCTCATTATAATTTTCTAAAGTAGGAGCTTGGCTCTGCCAAATGGAAAAGAGAGTTGGGGATAATTGTTGAATAGACAACAAATAATGTTCTCTAAAAATGAGTTTGCAGATAATTGAAGTTACCTTGTCAAGTGGGAAAGTTTCATTGTAATCATTTATAATGAAAATATTCCTAAGATAGTTCCTGCTTTACATTTCCTTTTAGTCCTTTAACCACCTAGAATATGTTCTGACCTCTTTTGGGGTATATAATCTATTCAACTGTTTGGGAAATACCAAAATTCCTTGAGGTTTGCTTCACTGTTGACATTACCATCTATGGTAACCCCTTCATTTTCACCCTGAGCTGATTCTGGACTTCCTTCTCACTTTAACGTTCAGATGTAGTTGACTCACAGCATTTGGTACCACCAATATCCATACAAAATCATGCTTTGAATGCATGATTTTTAAATTAGTTGTCTAATGCTGCATAACAAATTACTCTCCAAATTAGCAGCTTAAAACAGGAAATATTTTTTTATATCACATAATTTCTGAGGGCCATGAAATTGAGAGTGGCTTAATTGGGTGGTTCTGAAACAGGGCCTCTCTTATATTGCAGTTAAGATATTGACAGCAGTTGCAGTTACCTTAAGGCTTAATGGGAACTCCATGATCTGCTTCCAACAGCTCACTCACATGGCTGTTGACTGGAGGCCTTAGTATCTTGTCTTTCCACAGGGCTTTCTGATCTTTCCACAGATCTTCAATATGGCAGCCAGCTTCCTGTAGATCAAATGATCCAAGAGAGGCAAATGCCAATGCCTTTCTGAACCTAACCTAGCAGAAGTTACCTACAATCACTTCTTCCATAGTCTATTGGCCACACAGACCAGCCATTACCTGGTGTGGGAGCAGACTACTCAAAGTCATGAATACCAGGAGGGGAGAATCTTTTGGGGCCATCTTGAAGGCTGGTTACCATTCTCTATAATGAGTTTTATAGTCTGCCAGGACCTTGTGCTGGTTTGAACTTTTGTTCTGATTTTAAAAAATATATATTTTATTTTACCCCCCTCCACACTTTCTTTTACTTTTAAACAAATTTGCTTCATCTCTCTCCATGTCATGTGCCCTTTAAATGTTCCTACTACTAGAAAATGCAGCTAGTACTTTGCCTATATCCTCTCAGATACTTACAAAGTTTTTTTTTTTTAATTTTTAAAATATTTTAATTTGTTCTAATTAGTTATATATGACAGTAGAATGCATTTGGACACATTGTACACAAATGGAGCTCAACTTCTCCTTCCTCTGACTGTACATGGTGCAGAGTCACATCAATAGTGTAATCATATATGGATATAGGGTAATAATGTTCATCTCATTCCACCGTCCTTCCAATCCCCATACCTCCTCTCCTCCCCTTACTCCCCTCTGCACAATACAAAGTTCCTCTCAGATACTTTTAAACTTTTCTGTTGTGGGTCTCCCCTGGATGTGAAATGTTCTGAAGCTTTGTCTCAGGTACATGTAACCCTGTGACATGTAACCCTCATCCCAGACTTCTCCTGCAAGATCAGGCTCATGCTATTCTTTTGCAGGCATTTTGTCTACAGCCACACTCTTTCTTGGCTTGCTTTCCTTTCCTCCCTAACTTCTCCTTTATCCTCCCTTTCTTCCCTGAGGATACTTCCTTATCAAGGCATTAGTTTAGGAGTTCTAGTCTAAGGTTGGCTTCTGGAGAACCTGCCCTAGGACAGCTGTTGTTCTTAGAATATTGTCCTTGTTTAATAAGCTATTCATCTGTGTTTGAAAAATTACTCTGAAAAGGAACAAAAGAATATTTCCTTTTAAGATTTCTTAAGATTTTAAAATAAACTATGGAACATTTAAAATATACATACCAACATATATCAAACTAATAATTGTGTCCAAATAATAGAAAAATTGTGCTGAGTATTTATTTATCTGCTGAACAACTTCTCACCATCTCCTCTGCTTAAACTCTGAGTATCCTGAGCATATAAAGAAGGTCAGAAGGCAAGACATCATGTGCTGATAACACATTAGTAGGGTCATTAACTTTTGAGGGCATGTGCCAAACCTATTCTGCAGTAAGGACCTACTAAGCACCCTGAAAACCTTTCTCCAGGAGCCCTCTTGACTGCTCCCACATCTCTGTAAATATGAAGAGGGAGATCAAATCACTACCTCCAAAAATAGGCTTGTATTTGGTTGGTGACAGAATCCTTGATCACATGATCCATGATAACCTGCATATTGTTATTATAGGAGATTCTCATATGATGTGGAAGGTAAGACTTAAAAGAAGTCTTCTCTAGTTTTTGAACAGAGTATAAGTGAACTTGCTTGCCTTCTCAGATACCTGCAATTTCTATTCTAATATTCATAGATCACTTGTGAACTTCTTTTAATGAATAGAAAGTTCATAGACTCTCTGTTTAAAGAAACCTACTAATTGGATCATGCTGATTGGCTTATGGCAGTCTCCAGTCTGCGAAGACTTGAATGTTGAAACTTTGGTGCCTATTTGCAGTTTGTCTCGAGAGCCATATTTTCTTCCTATATTCTAAAGAACTTCCTTTTGGATAAATTTACAAACCCCAAACTAGGATGCATCCATCAGTATGCTGCAACACATATTCACCTGGAATAAACTTCTGTTTATGTTAGAGACAACCTATCTACATTATTCATTTCAGAAGCATAGACTTTTTAAAAAAATATTTTTAAATTGTTGACAGACCTTTATTTTATTCATTTATTTGTATGTGGTGCTGAGAATCAAACCCAGTGCTTCACATATGTGAGGCAACTGCTCTATCACTGAGCCACAACCCCAGCCCAGAAGCATACACATTTTAAAGAGCACAGTTGACATTCTTTATGCCCACTATAGCTGTTTTCTACAAAGGTTTCTGTGTGTCTAGAAGACTGGAAAGTTTTAATTCAGACGTAGTAGGAGACTCCCTTTCTCCTTCAGAATTGACTCTGCACTGTTGTCCTCTCTCCCTCCAACCAAATCAAATTTTGCATGGTGAGAACTCGAATGTAATCATCTTTGACAAACCTTGTTTCTTCTGTTTTGATGGTTTTAATGGTATCTGAAAATTTGCATTCCCATGCAGAGCATCCTTGTTTGTTTTACCTCCTTTCTTCCTAATATACGTAATATATTTACTTTCTTTCTCTCTTTTGTGTGTAAATCTTTTTTTAATTGTTCTGATATATTTTTTCTTAACTATAGACAAGTTTTCATTGTCAAAAGTTCAAATAATACAGAAATATAAACAGTAAAATGTGAGTTCTCATAACTAATTCCCCTTCTTTCCTCTTCCCCCTATAATCACTCTTAATGGTTTGGAGACCATTTAAGAACTTTTCTATGCCGTAATATACATTATAGATGTCCATATACAAATACAGGGCCTGACAGCTTAATTTAAATGTGGTTATTCTAAACAAACAGCACTGAAACTATTATTTTCTAAGCTCATAATTTCCGCCACCCTTCTACTTTAATATGTAGTATCTTTAGAACTCTAAACTGTATTTTTTTAATTTGTTCTAATTAGTTCTGAATGACATTTTCTTAGTGTCTTGTTTAAACCAAAGCTCTTTGAACTTAGCCAAATTTGGTGTTTTGTTTCCTTCAGGGATCTAAGCCCCCCAATACGGCTAAATCTAGTTTGTCCATAAAACAAATTCCAGATAGTCAATTTAAAAAAAAAAAAAAAACTAGAGCTTGTGGAGCATGGGAAGAATAGATGAACTTTAGATAGGGCAAAGGGGAGGAAGGGGGAATGGGGGTAGGAAAGATGGTGGAACGAGATGGACATCATTACCCCAAATACGTGTATGAAAACACGAATGGTGTGACTCTACTTTGTGTTCAACCAGAGACATGAAAAAATGTGCTCTATTTGTGTAATATGAACTGAATTGCATTCTGCTGTCATATAAAACAAATTAGAATAAATAAAATAAAAATTTTTAAAAAAACTAGGGCTTTTTCTTTTCAATTTTCCATTTGTTTTCTATTGTCAAGCCAAACACAACAACCAGACCATGATAAGTTGGACTAAAGACCCTGCGTATTAATTTTTCCATCACTGTGAGCAAAATACCTCACAAGAGCAACTTAGAGGGAAAAAAGTTTATTTTGGCTCATGATTTCAGAGGTTCAGTCAATGGTTGGCCAACTCTATTGCTCTAGGCCAAAGGTGAGGCAAAACATTATGGTAGAAGGTGTGGCAGAGGAACACTGCTCCATTATGGCAGGAGGAAACAGAGAGAAAGAGGGAAGTATTCACAGGAAAGGGACCTTCCAGGGCTTACCATCAAGACCCACCTCCTCCAGCCATGCCCCGCATGCCTACAGTTACCACTCAGTCGATTGAAACTAGGATGGACTGATGAGGTCACAACTCTCATAATATAATCATTTCACCTCCAAACATTCTTGCATTAACACAGGAGCTTTTAGGGGACACCTCATATCCAAACAATAACAACCTGAAACATTCTTCCTGAAATTTTTTGAAATTTAAATATAATCCTGGCCATCTTTATGGGTGACTATTTTTGTGCACAAGGAGACTAGTGTAATGGATTTAAATAAACTGAAGGTAAACAAGTGTCCCCTGCTCTGCCTCCAAACTAAGACTCATGAAGTCCTGCTGTGTATCTGCCTCTGGATACCCACCCAAGGAAGCAAAGGGTTTAGGAAGGAAAGAGCACCTTGAAGAAATAGCGGCTCTCAACTGGAATAAATAGATGGAGGGAAAGGCGAAAATTCTATCACAGATGCTTATGAAAAAGGGGTAGAGAGAAAGAAGAGACAGAGCAGATTTTGAAAATGGGGAGAGGGCCAATCTGTTAGTTATCAGAGTTGTGTAGCAGATGGGGCTGGGGTCAGGAAAGGCTTTAGCTGTGATATACAAGTTTGCTTTCTAGGCAATGGAATCATATTGATGAGTTTGACTCAGGGAAATAATCATCGTTGCCATCATTCCAGGAGCCACCAGGTACTGAGTGTGTCCAATATTTCATTTTGTCCTCCTAATAAGTCTTTGGGACAGGTACTTTTCTTATCCCTACTATACAGATGAGGAAATGAAAATTCAGAGAGGTTAAAGAAGTTTTCCAAGATTGTATTGCTAGCGGATGGTGGAGAAAACCCTATTTACTCAGACATAATTTAGACTTGGGTGGATTCTTTGTTACTGGTATTATTAAAAACATAAACGCTGTTCTAGCATCATTTTAAGGAAGACCAAGAATCTGCAAGGGTCTTGTGAGATAAGATTAAAATGTGTATGCTGTTGACTTTTATTGTAACTATAAACCAGTAAACACCAACTTCAATGAATTTCATGTCTGGACAGATAAGATGAACAAAACAAACTGCTACAAGGAACAGATGAAGGTAGAGAGTAAGTCTGAAGACTTTTTAATCGGCCAGGGGCATCTCCATTTTGCTTTGGAAACAAGCCAAGCAATTTACATTACAGAGCGGAGTCCCATTGCATGTGACTCTGCCTACCAAATTATGGCTGGTTTCTGCATACTTTTTTTCATGTTAACAGGGAGCTTGGGAGTTGCCCTTCTACAAGGATCAGAGGCTGTGGGTTATATGTTTCGTGAGCTGCTATTCCTCTGGGATGTGATTACCCAGGATAAAACAATTCTTTCCCTGAGCTTTATTGTTCAAATAGGGAAGCTACTTACAAGTAGTAGATCTAGATCCAAAGGGGAACACTTTCATTCACAAGTCTTTATTTGACAAATACATCAGAAAAGCTATGTTTTAAAGCAGGAAAAAATTATAAACATTTGTAAGAGTTTGGTAAGCAACCCTGGGGCACCTGATTCTTCACTCTTACGGACAGTGGTACTTGATGCACTCCTGAAGAGCACAGCATTCCACCAAGCCTGCTTTC